CCCCCCCCCCCCCCCGGATGTCCCTGCGAAACCTGCAGGGAGTCCTTGGCCTGCAACCACAGTTGGGACCAGGGCTGCTGTGGCTAAGTAATGCAGTTGTAAAGTGAAACCGATTTGCTTAATGACAGAAATCCAGGCAGTCCCAGTTGCATGGTTAAGTGCCCTTCGACCTTTGAGGATCCAGATACAGTGAAGACAGGAGGGAAGGAGACTTTAAGCTTGATTGTTTAATGGTAGCAGGCAAATTAAACAGAAACATGTCAAACTGCATGCTCTCCCTTCAACTCTGGGAGCCATTTTGAAAACAGTGGAGAGACTCCAAAGCCCTGGGAGCACAGCGCTGAGTGCTCAACTTCTGCAGAAGATCAGGGCTAAAAGGGAAATTTTATTAAAATTTGGCACCAAGATTTTATGTCCCTGCTTCCAAATTTATAAATATAGGTGGTCCTTGACTTACGACCACAACTGAGCCCAAAATTTATGTTGATAAGTGAAACGTTTGTTCGTTGAGTTTTGCTCCATTTTACAACTTTTCTTGCCAAGTGAATGATTGCAATTGTTAAGTCAGTAATCTGGTTGTTAAGTGAATCTGGTTTTCCCATTGACTTTGCTTGTCAGAAAGTTGCACAAGCAGATCACGTGACCCCGGGACATGGGAAGTTGCCAAGCATCTGAATTTTGATCACGTGGGGATGCTGCAACAGTCGTAAGTGGGAAAAACAGTCATAAGTCACTTTTTTCAGTGCCATCATAGCTTTGAATGGTCACTAAATGAACTGTTATAACTCATTCATGAGGCTGCAAGATCTGATCTTGACTGAGTAACTCTGGGATGGGAACAAAAAGCAGAACTTCGCAAGCTGTTTTCCTTGATTCAGCAAGTAAGAGTGAAAAGCAAGCAGATTAGCTCAGAGTGAGCTCTAAACTTAAAGAATCAAAATATGTAACTCAACTCCTTGAAATACAATGGTCTTCTGCAAAGCCACAGCAAAAGGGCCTCAGAGTCGCTTGGATTTTCAGCCCCAGAGTCAAGAAGCTCCTCGGCTGAAAATCCTGCTTGGATTTTGGCAGGGAGCCTTTTTAGCCACCCCCAGAGTAGAAAGGACTCTCTCTTATGTATCTCTGGGGGCTGAAAAAGCTCCATGCCCAAATCCAAGCTAGAATGCATGCAGAAAATGAAACCTCCACGGAGAAATCCAACCTGGTGCTGCCTGCCAAGGGGAGCCTGAGAAGGCCCCGTCCTGAAAGAGAGTCCCCTGGACTCTGGGGGCTGTTTGAAAGTGCCCCTGGCCCAAATCCTGAGCTTATTCAGCTAGACGAGAGGGAGCCCTCGTGCCAGTGGCAGCGGTCTGTGACCTTCTCTCCCAGCTCCCCCCGCTGACTGGCCAAGCACCCAGATGGCCCTCATGTGGCCGCAGGGACCCTGGGCAGCTGCTCCCCAGTCCCTTCCTTCAGCACTGCTGCACTTTTGAGTGCTGAGGACTGCCTGTAGTGCTGCAACAAGCTATTGCTTTAGGAATCCCTGGAAAAACTGTGGTTGCAACATCCATTTGATTGCCACGACTTTCATCTTGCAGCATCATTATTTTGCCTTCTGAAATGGGAGAAAGGAAGACAGAGGCTCCCAGGGCACCCAAGCTGACCATCACCCAGCCGGTCCTCTCCCAGATGTACCAATGTGTTGCACCCTTTCGAACTAAGGACACTCAGAACCAGCCCTTCGAGACCACCAAGGCAGAAAAGCTGGAAGTGCTGATGAAGGACAGGACAGGTATGGAGCCCCGAAATGTGCCTCCCGGCAGAAACCAGATGCCATGGCTTGGCTGCATGCTGTCTGCGGGCATTCCTAAACCACTATTTATATAATTTAATGAATTTATTTATATCTGCCTTTGTAGAAATAACTCAAGGCAGTAAACATCTTTAATACTCCTTTCTCCTATTTTCCCTACAACAAACACCCTGTGAGGTAGGTGTTGGGCAAGAAAGATTGACTGGCCCAAAGTCACCCAGGGACTAGAACTCTCACTCTCCTGGTGATTGGCCTATAGTCACCCAGTTGAGGGTACCTAAGGTGGAACTAGAACGGTGATGGCGAACCTTTTAGAGACCGAGTGCCCAAACCGCAACCCAAAACCCACTTATTTATTGCAAAGTGCCAGGGCGGCATCAGCATTGTGGTGCCCTCGGGGGGGGCGGGGAGGCACCTCTGAATGCCGCCTCTGGCACGCAAAAACTGGGGGCACAAAAATGGGCCACCGTGCTGCAAGGCACAAAAACGGCCGCCTCCGTGCCGCAGGGTGCAGATACAAGGCCCTGCACCACGTAAGCATGGGGCAGGGCTAGTGAGTATCACGCAGGCACTAGCCCCATCCCATTTGCAGCGCGTGCGTGCTCATGGCCCCGTGCACGCATGCACACATGTAAAATGCTTCCCCCTCCCAGTCCACCAATCAACAATGGTTGGTGACCTCTGCTCTACCACCTTTACTTGACCTTGCTAGTCGGCCGCTTCTCCTTTGTACTGGGTGGGACTCCTGCTCTGGGCTGTGGGGGCAGCCTGATGGACCTGCTGCTGGCAGCGGTGGCGCGCGTGCCAACAGAGAGAGCTCTGAGTACCGCCTCTGGCATGCGTGCTATAGGTTCGCCACCACTGAACTAGAACTTACACTCTCCTGGTGATTGGCCCAAGAACGCTCAATTGGCTTTCGTGCCTAAGGCTGGGCTAGAACTCACCATCTCGTACTTTAACGAAATTGGCTACGTTTGCACAACAGTATGCCCTATAATCCCGCACAGGCATAGTTTATAAGCCATTTCTAAACCATAAATCATGATTTACAAGCTACCTTTGGAAAGTTCGCACAACAGGCTGAATCAAAAGCAAACCAACCATATCATGCAGATGTATGAACCCAATCAAGGATAATAAGAACTATATTCTTGAACCAAGCCTGCTTCTGCAGTATTCTCCTTAGATTAGCCAGATTTATTTTCATCCTGGGTTTCCCTATCTTGCAAAAAGTTGGGAGGATTGCAAAACCATTCAAATTTCCTGCAGGAAGTTATTTTTCTAGGAGAGTTTGCTGCTCAAGTAGTATGGATAGGCAGAGGAGTATGAGCCAGAGCAATCTGATGACTTCCCCTTCTATTCCCTCATCTAAATCATTTATGAAGAGGTTGAAGAGTCCTGGGCCTAAGACAGAACCTTGGGGTTCCATTGACGAAGCCACCAGCAACCCAACGGAAGGAAGACTTTGAAAGCACCTCAGTGCAAATGGAGGGGAATCCTTTGCTGAGGCCCAGGAGAGGAGCCGATCCAAGCCTAGCTGGCCGTTCACTAGACTATGCCAATGCGGCTTCTCCCTCAGCTTGCTTTGAAGGTCCAAAGTATGGTTCTTGAACGAAGCGGAATGCCTTTGGGTGAGAACAGAAGATTGGTGCAAATTTGCACTCCCTCCATGCTTCCATGTCTTCCGCCAAGGAACGCTGTGGGCGCCCAGCTCATTTCTTGACCCCTCCATGTTCTTTTGCTTCAGGATGGTGGCTAGTGGAAAACAACCAAAAACAAATCGCCTGGTTCCCGGCTCCGTATCTGGATGACAGCAAAGAAATGCCCATCGTGGGAAAAAACGACAAGGAAGGTGAATCCTGACTGGCCCCCTAACTCTTTCCTGTAGACCAGCGTTTTCCAAACACGGCAGCTTTAAGATATGTGGACTTCAACTACCATGCTGCCTGGGGAATTCTGGGAGTTGAAGTCCATATATCTTAAGTTGCTAGGATTGGAAAACACTATTGTAGATACAGAGATAATGGCATTAAATATTGCAGATCTAACCAATGTTTTCAAATTCTAAAGACTGGGAAGTCAATCCCCTTCACAGCCAAATCTTCAAAACACGAATTGGTGTTGTGTTCTGGTGGTCCCAGTGTCCCTGCAGTCCTTTCTGTCTGTTTTAGATTATTTCATTTTTTAAAAAAGGAATGTTATGTTGGCAAAAAAGCTCACATGGGCCCACCGGCATTTTTACAATACAGGTAGTCCTTGACTGACAACTGTTTGTTTATGGCAGTTCAAAGTTACAAGGCCTTGGAAAAAGTGACTTACAACCTGTACTATCACTTACAAGTACTGCACCACTCCTGCAATTATGTGATCACAATTCAGCCACTTGACAACCAGCTTACATTTGTGACTGGTTGCAATATCTTGTGGTCACATGATTGCAAAGTGCAATCTTTTTTGCAATTTTTTGGCAAAAAATTCCCACGGGGAAGCTGGATGCACAATGACTGCTGTAAAAATTGTTGTAAAATTAGGTTTATCTAAACTTACAACTGCAACAACTTACGGTGGAAATTCCAATCTCAGTTGTGGTTGTAAATCAAGGATTATTTATATTACACTCAAAATAGACTCAAGAACCGGCTGAACACTTCCAGCACTATTTTGTGAAAAGAACACCGTCTCACAGCAGCCACTTTGTGACAGCAGAATTCTCCAAATGTGTCCATGGCTCAAACCATGCCCTGTCCTCAGTTCCTGAGTTAATTTCTCTTGTTTTGAGGCTGGATGGGAACTGACGCGGCTGCTTTGTAATCAGGCAGATAGGGGCTTCCTTGCACTCGCCCTTCTTCTACTACTTCTTCTTCTTCTTCTGTCCTTCTCGTTCCAGGGATGCTGTATTATGTCACCCGGGCTTACCTAGCCAAGGAACCAGATGAACTCTCCCTCGAGGCTGGGATTGTGGTGGAAGTGCTGGAGAAGTCAGAGAGTGGCTGGTGGCTGGTTTGGTAAGCCAGGAGATGGGCTGGGCTGTGGGGGAGGAACTCAGTTTGGGCACACAAATGGGACACTGATCAGTTTCCACAGACAGACCATGACATGGTACCTACTGGTTGCTGAAAGCCTGGTAAAAATACTGAATACTGCATTATACTTGCTACCTTGAAAGATTAATAGACAAAGTCTCTTAAGCCAGGGGTAGGCAACCTTGGCTCAGGAATTCTGGGAGTTGAAGTCCACGAGTCATAAAAGAGCCAAGGTTGCCTATCCCTGGCTTAAGCAAACATCAGAAGGATCTGGTAGCACCTTTTCAGATTAACAAATGTTATTAAGAGATCTCCTTACCTGAGTTGCACTTCACTTCATCAGAAGCCATGGAATGATTAGACATTAATTCTGTGGAGATCCTGTGAATGTTGTGTTGCTTGTTGTGTTGTGTTGGATTTTGAGAGCAATCAGTGAAGCATGAGACACTGGAAGAATGAAGTGCTTGCAGTCAGGGAGGCAGGCCTAGCAAAGGCCTCTGAGGAGCAGGGAGAGGCTACGTAAGATCCTCCCCAGGTTGATCAACTCTTAGCCTTAGCATGATTTGTGTTGAGGAATGATGGGAATTGTGATCCACTGGAATTGGACTCTCTGACAATGGCTGTTGTCCTCTTTCTTGCTTTCTCCTCTTTGGGGAACAGCATCCAAATCTCTGTGGGGCTAAAGGAGAGTTCAAAATTTCTTCCAAAATCCTTATGCAGAAATTCTTTCCTAAAAGTAGAAATCTTGCAAGAGAATTAATATTAGGACATTGGCACTAAAGAAGAAATCAGCTTTTATTGGAAGAGATTGGGGAAATCCCTCTCCCCCAATGCCATAGATCCATTTCTGTTGAGAAGCAACAGACTTAGATGTCATTGCTGACCCAACAAAAAGGGATTCCTGCCTGGAGCTGAAGTGATGCCCTCTCCTCCTGCCCTGTCCTCCTTTTGGCTTTCCAGGTACAATGGAACCACAGGCATCGTTCCCTCCATGTTTCTCCAGCCGTACAGAAACCCCCATAGCAAATTCCTGGCTCTTGCTTCTCCCTCCTTGTGCAGCTCTTTGCCAAACCTCACTGAAGCCCCCCGTCTCAGCAGCAAGAATTGCGCAGCCCAGCAAAAGGGGAACCAGGTTTATCTCAACCAGAAGACGCAAAGCAAAGACATTGGTTCACTCGAGGGCAAAGGCATTCGTTCCCCAAGTAGAAGTTCCATCTCAGGAAATTCCAGTCCAGCCTCTGGGAAAGAGAGTTGGTCCAGCAGCTCTGGGAACACGAGTGACCAAGGATTCTGCAGTCCTTGTGACCCTGAGAGCCACATTGTCCTCCCAGAGACCCTTTTCCAGACATCTGGCAACCCAGGAAGCCCCTCCTTAAGCCAGCAGCAGAACAATTTTGGCTTTGAAGAGGAATCTTCTAGAGACCCCGTCCACTTGCTTCCCTCCTCTGGTGTGGGCCCCTTGCCTAGTGGCCCTCTTGTGCCCCCACGCCCATCCCCTCATGAAATCCTCCAGAAATGCAGCAGCATAACCAGAAGGGCTCTGCAGAGATCTCTGGAGCAGCCCAGCAGTCCTGCCGGTTCCCAGCTGTAGAAAGCAAAGGTGCCATCCAACATCACTGAGCTCTGAGGTTTATTAATGTACAAAATACCTGCTGTGTGTGGAAGGAATCACTTGGTTCCTTATGCAGGGTTAGAATTTGGATGTCCTTCCAGGGTCTGAGCTGAAGTGGCTCAAGGCATGACTTTCTTTCCGAGGGACACACCTCCATTTTCCTAAAGAGAGGCCAAGCTGAAAGCACCATCCACTTTAAGAGCTCTCATCTAGAAGCCAATCCCTTGGAAGTGAAAAGAGAGGACATTTTTCACCAGGTTGTGTGACATCACCTCCTGCAATGGGGCGCTATTTGGCCATGCTGGATGGAGTAGACACAAACCTGTATGGAGCCCTGAGAATATTTTGTGAAGGACTTAACCCAATTCCACCTGAACTAAAGAAAAGGGCGGGTAGAACTGAGGACCGCATGGTCCTTTGAAGCTCTAGTAGTCCTACTTTCTACTCAACTATCAACATCCATGAGCTGTGGACTGCTGCATCCAAGTTGGGATCTACAGAAGATATTTATTTAAAATTACCTAATATAATTATGGAATGGAGGCATTTGAATACTTTTAGGTATTCCTTACTTATTAATGTGTTTTAATATTTTAGTAACTGATTTCTATCTAGTGGTTTGAGGGTTACTAGGCATATTAGAAATATGAACTAATAAAATCATATATAATTAATATGCTGTATTTCCAGATTTCAAGCAATCTGCCTGTGAAAAATAAAATTACTTAGAATGCAATTTCTTTGGAAAGTCACCCTCTCTTCCCATTTGTTTTAAAAAGTTCAGCATGCTGCATTTCACACAGAGCCTTTTCTCACCTCTCTCATTCACAGAATAAAACTCCCGTTATTGCAGATAACTTTATCCACTCATGAACACTAACGGTGTGTATTAAATTTGGAAATTAATCTGCAACTCACTATCTAGGTAATAATAATGGGCACTAGAGTAACTGAATTTGATGGGGCAAGCCTGGCTGCTCTGCTGTGATAGTTTACAATCTGTGTGGTGGGTGGTTCTCTTCCTCACCCTGCTCTTGGTCTGCTTAATGTCCACCAGTTTTAATGTTTGTAAGCTGCCCAGAGTTGCCTCTGAACAAGACGGGAGGCACATAAATCGAATAAGTAGATAAATAAAACAGCCCTTTGGGGTAGTCCAGATCAGCAAACAGACTCCAGGAGGAGTGCTGGAACTCTCCTGTAGGTTAAAGGGTGTGATAACAGAACTTGGACAGCCTGAGTGAGATGCTCCCTCCCCACTCCTTTCTTATAGCAAAGAGAATCAAAGTGAGGAATCTTGAGTTTCTGCCTCACTTCATCCTGTTTTTGGACTAAGCTGGTGTTAACCTAAAGGTTGCTGCATCCCTATTTTGAGGCCCAGCTGCACGAGATGGGAGCAGGCACGGCAAGACAAAACCCTTCGCCTTTATTCCCATTGGCTTCATCTCACCCAAACCTTACAACCACTCCTGAGGACACCCAGTCAGACCAGCAGAGGCTTAGCTGTTCTACTGCATCTCCAAATTCTGCTTCCTGCCTTTATGGCCATGGCATCTTGCTGCAGAAGCGAGGCCAGATTCATGCACTCTGCTGGATTATCATTTGGTTTCTTCGGTTTAGCCTTGTTCCGACCGTATCAATGGTGGCTTGTTCAATCATCTATGGTTAAGACCAACCAGGGCTCAGCAGGCAAGGTGAACTAAGCCACGTCTTCCATCACACTCCCGAAAGGTGATTGTGAAACTATGTAGACTAGTTCATCTGTGAAAGATCAGTATTGTTAAGGGATTAAGTGTGTTATTTTTAAAAAGGCACTGGGGTGGAGAACTTGTATGGCCCAGCAAATGAGAGACAAGTATATTTATACAAATAACCATGTATTTATTATATAAAGCATTCTTTAAAACATTGTTGGTGAAGGAATGTCAAACTGTTTGGGGATGTGGACAAGTACTGGCAGGTGAGCTTCAGCAGTCATGTCTCCATCTCTTCGTCCCACCTGGGAGCCTCAGCCAGCCTCATGTTTTGCCACATGAAATCAAGGAACATGGAGGCCTGGAGTAGCCGGCCCAGCCTCTGGTGGTGGCGTTCTGCAAAGAGGAAAAAGGGAATGAAAACCAAGGAGGCAAGCAAGAGCAGCTGTCCTTGGCAATGATGGGTTACCTACTCAGCCTCACCTGGAAGTTGGAGGTTTTTAAGGCTGGGGACCAAATTTATCATGTTCTTCCATGGGAAGATGGTTTCCATTTCCCTTGACCACGTGGCATGGAAGGCAATGTCAGGTGCAGTTAAGGTAGTGCTCTCAGTGATGGTGGCATTAAGGAGGCTTGGCTACCTCCATCTGGTATATAAGTCTAAGTGCTATTGCTATAATCTCAGAAGATGGAGTGTATAATCTACTGCTATTGCTAAATCTTTGCTCTGAAATAAGGACCTTCAATATGACTGCAACCACCATATTTTTCCTGTAGGAAATTTACTATAACCAAGAGACATGGGCACTTTAAACAGAAGGCAAAATAAATATACTGGTGGATTGTAGAATACATGTCTGTCTCTTTTCAATATTTGAACTCAATTTTTTCAGCAAAGAGCAAAGTAAAGAATTGTCAACCAACTTGATCAAATTTCTATGAATTGTTCCATGATCACATATTTCTAGGCAATTTATTTAATCACATGATTATAATTTTGTTAATTTGGATACTATGAGCCAATCGTTTGAACTGATAAAATATGCATGGTTTTAGTTGCATGGTCAAAGCCACCATTTTGACTTCTTTGACACACACACACACAGAGAGAGAGAGAGAGAGAGAGAGAGAGAGAGAGAGAGAGAGAGAGAGAGAGAGAGAGATGTGGATATCCCTGCATCTTTCTTAACTGACATCCTTCAGATGTGTTGGACACATAAGATCTTCCAGCCTTTGCTGAGCCAGCTGGGTATTAACACAAATGCAGCTATATTCAGGAATCTTTTCCAAGGCTGAGAAAAACAAACTCAGCAGAGAAATATTTAGCTTCACATTCAAAGCAACATAATAAGATGCCACAGGCTCTGCAGGAAAATTGGAAGTTGCATAATTACTCTGATCACATAACAATGAAAAATCTTTGATTTCTTGGACAGAGCTCAGTCCCCAAGCTGCAGTCTAATGGTTTGGGAATTCCTCTTTGCCTGGAGTTACAGGAAGTTGGGGGGGGGAGGAGAGGGGATGCTTCCTGGGACTTGGGTCTAGAGAAGTCTACATAGAGGGATTTTTCTACATTGGTGGGGCCTTCCTGGAAGGATCATAATTCATCTACACTCTAAGGCCCCAGGCCCCGTTTGGCTCTGAGGAACACGCAGACCCACCCTGAAACCAGGTTAGTGATGCAGGAATTAATTTCTGCCTGGCAGAAAATTTGAATATAGTCTCACTGAGCAGCCGGGTGATTTAAGAGCAAATTAGAACCTGCCCACTCAAAATTCTCTTGACCTGAAAGGCTGAAAATGGGAGAGGGGGTCAATTGTCCTGCACAGACTGTTTGCTTCAGACGGTGTAAGGTTCCCAGGTGTCAGGCCCCACTTTGAAGTTGAGCCATGATGGGTTGAAAAGTAGAAACGTGAATAGCTGTGATGGAGAGCCCAGACTTGCAAACCCATCAGAGTTGTAGGTTGTGATAAAGCTATCACTAAAAACTGAGCCCAAGCGCACAAGAAGAACTTATAAATGTGATATTTTGGAAAAAAACACACATTTCAACTGTTAATCTCAAAGCCATTTCATCCTATTTAAGTGCGGATTTCTTGGAGAAACAAGGAATCATTTACTGATGAAGTTGGAAGAAGAGCCACTTGCCTGTGTAGGGCAGGAGAGACTCCACCGCAGTTTTGATCCCTTCGTACTTCAAGAGATCCTCTGGATTTTCATGCTTGAGGAGGATTTCCACCACTGCCTGGGCCTCGTGGCAGTTCCGTGTGTTGGTGTTCCAAGTGATGGAGAACTTCAGAACTGCCTCTGGGGTCAAAAGCACAAGACAGACATTAGGATATGAGGGCCTGCTGAGTTCATACCTGCCCCGTTAAGGGTTGTGAGATTGGAATGTGCCTCTTACCTGCCTACTTTATTAAACAAACAAACAAACATGGCCAGTTAACTCACACAAGGTGACTCCTGGCAGCTTACAATATTAAAATTTCACCATGTAAGAAGAACCCTAAACTTCCAGCCCCCATGATAGCAACCACGCAATCACACCAGCCACCTTATTGGCTCCATATCAACCAGGGGTCTCCATGCCTGCTGACAGAACACATCTTCAGGGCCTTCCAGAAAAATAGCAAGGAAAATGGTATTCCAAAGGGAGGGAGCCACCACAGGAAAGGCCTCTTTTCTTAGTCCCACTAGACATACTTCCCTAACAGAGGGGACCCACAGCATACTATGCATTCCTGCTCTGGTGAGCTGGAGTAGGGCTTTAAAGGTGATAACTAGCCCCCCCCCTAGATTGTTAATTGGTAACCAATGCAGTTCCCGTAAAAGAGGTGATACATGCAAAATCTTGACTTGCAGAATTATGCGGGCTGTTGCATTTTGGACCAACTTGAAGTTTTGAAACATAATACAATGAGACTTTGAAAGTTGGACACAGGAAATTAGAAGGAACTAAAGATTAAAATTAAAGAAAAAGAACACTTATATTTGACTTACAAATACGGTAGGGAGCAAAGTATTTCAACATTCAACACACTGATGGTTATTTTTGAACAATGGACCCACAAATTAATATTAAGAGTGTCTGCCTCTAAAGATAGTATTTAAAATATGTTATAGAAGAGAAACAGACAAGGCTGAGACTGATCTGAAAATAGATTTACAAATAATAGACTACAAAAATAATATGTAAATAGATGCTATACTGGACATACAAAAGAATTCTGCTGATGTCTTAATAATTAAAAGGGATATACACATAACAAACCAAAAAGTGACCTGAATAATTTTCCTATATAAGAGGCTGTTAAAGCATTGAAGAATTTTGTGAAAAACAACAAAGAAAAAATGAAAATAAATCAGATTCTAGAATATTAATTTGAAGGAACTAAAGATCAAGATTGTTAAAAAGAAGATATATAAAATGGTTTATTTGATCCAGTTTAAAATACATATGTGGTTATCTCTGGGCCCTTAATGGTTTTTTGATGATCAGGACTAAAATGATGAGCTTTTAAGGATTTATAGATAAGAGATGGGAAATGGGAAAAAAGATTTGTTTCATTGTTAGAAAAGGTGATATTACTAAAATCATTTATACTTGTGAAGGAAAAAGTCATTTCTTTATATATTTCTTTTTATTTTCTTTGCTATACTCTTATTTTTTCTATTTTTTATTCCTATTTTTAGTTTATATTAGTTTTTTATCATTGCACCTGTACTTTTTAATAAAATCACTATAAAACAAAAAAGAAGACTGGAGTTCTTCCAGCTGGACTAATGTTTCCAGCCCGAAACCACCTGGAGTGGGAGTATTTAACCAGAAAAAGGGGGCAAAGGTCAAACTGCTCAATGGTCTTTTGTTCTAAAGGGATTCCCCCCCCCTTCTGTTCAATGAGAGTCTGATTCTGGGAGACAAGTCCTATAGTTAACTTTGCAAGATATTTTTTTTTCAGAAGTGGTTTGCCACTGAGTC